GTGTGGAATTTGGGAGCGTTTAGATTACATAGTGACCATCGAAGTCGCTCCTTAATCGATATTATGGGAAACTAAGCACTTGGCAACTGTACAAACAAGGGTTAGTGGGTGCCCAGGGATTTGTTATTGAGCAGTCGAGTGTGCTTGTGGTCAAAATATATTCCAATCAGGAAACGATAGATATGCGCGTCTCGTCTATTGACTCACTGATTGTATTGGAAATGAATCGAGAGGTGTTTATGTCTGAACGTTCAGCGATTTTTAAACAGATTTAAGGTTGGGAAGAAATGTGTTATGTTTTTTTTTTATTTCGTAAATATGTTGGGAATGTTTTCAACTATTCTTGAACGAACCACTCATCCGCAAAATTCAATTCCATTTTAAAAAGTGCTGCTTTATGTTCCAATTTTTTATTGGTTGTTGGGAGGATTTCGAAATTTTATTAAGCTCTAAAAATTTTGCTGCTTGTTTTTTAATACCGTCCCTTCAATTTTCGGAAAAAATTGAATTGGGAAGCGTTTAATTGGATGCAGTTAACCGTTGATAAGTTAGCACAAATTACTACTAATTCAACAACAATTTTTAATTAAAAACTTTAATTAGAACTTGTTTAAAATCGAAATTAAACGATTTTTTAGCCGATTTAATAACCACTCCTATTAAATAAATGATTGGTTAATAAACAAAATAGCTTTGTAATCGGATAAAAATAAACATTAGTTATTTAAAAAAGGCGAGTGCGTGTCCGTGTATGAGTTGGATTTAAATAATCAACAGTTGGGTGTTTCGTGTTGTGAGTTGGGGTCATCTGCGAAAGTGCGTTTTGTGTTTTACAATAGTGGTATTCACGGTTGTTTGGAGTTAATGTTTGTAAAAGGATTAAGGGTACTGGCCTGCCGAATGCGATTTGTATACAGACCCATTTGTTTGTTAGTAACTGGTGAAATCGGGTTCTCTTTGAAATATTGGCACTCCATAAAACGTTTTTAAAAAAAAATCTCTGGTTGATATGATGTCCTCGCACCCTCATCGTGTGGGTAAAATATATAGACGTATGGCGAAAAGCTTTCCGGAAAAACCTTCATTGATTTCCTAGATTTATCGGGCGCGTTATAGAATAAGATGGCAGACTTGGGTTCAGATTAAACAGTTAAAGGTGGATTTATTACACCTAGTCTTTCCTGCCGCGTTCCTAGACAGGTTAGATGGGGCGCCAGCCAAAATCTCACCGTGTTAGATGAGTGGCACATTTCCGCTTCGCAGGAAGTGCGACGACGTAAATTATACCCATGCGATAAAAATGGGGTGATCATAAGATGAAATAATTAAAGAGTTTGAATTAAAACTAGAATTAATACTTAGCACTTACACTATCACTACAACTTACACTAAACCTAGAACTAGAAAGTTTCGGGTTTCGCCCTGTCTCTCTTTGGACGACTAAAATCGAATGTTTTCACTTCTGGTTTCAGGTCTAGTGTTTGTTCTGGCTTTAATTGTTATTCAGCGCTAGATTGTTACTAGGTTGTGTACATTTTTATTGAACTAAAATTAGAACTAAAAACATTTGGGCTGTTATCCTATTTTATGATACTTATACAAATTGTTCGGATTATCAAATCTTGCTGCTAAATAGTTGAAAACACAAGTATTGGATGCAAAAGAATTTACAAAAAAATTACTTTTACAAAAGAAATTTAATTATTGCTTTTTGGGCGTTCGGATTACTGTGGTTCGGATTATCGAGGTTCTACTGTACTTATATTCTATGAATTTGTGATGAAACTGATGAAACTAATGAATTTATATTATTGAAACGATAAAAAATAATAAAACTTACAGTCAAAGACCGAAGCTATCAATTAAAACCGAAATATTGAAGTTTAAATTTTGAAAAAAAGTGAAATGCATTGAAAATGTTTGGAATAACCAGCTAAAAGTAAAAATATGAATCGTAAAAGTAATAAAATGTCTTTAAACAGGAATATAAATTAACACATGGTATTTCGAATGTTTCCAGTTCTGGATCTAGTGTTAGTTCTAGTGCTATTGTTAGCTCTAGTTTTAATTGTAATTCTAGTTATTTTTAAAAAAAGTCACCAGATCTAGTTACTTTTTCAATACCAACCTAATTTATTTTCCCCCGAGTTTAGGTTGGCACCGCTCCCTATACTTATAACATTGGAGCGTGACGTCACAGAAGGATTTGGGAGATTAACTTCCGGTCTAGAACCGGCATTTCTATACTACTAGCGTTAGATTGTTGTATATTTTTATTGAACTAAACCTAGAACTAACACCATACTTAGAATAATTCTAATTCTAGCTCTAGGTCTAATGTTAGTTCTAGTTTTAATTGTTATTGAGCGCTAGATTGTTACTAGGTTGTGTACATTTTATTAGACTAAAACTAGATCTAACATTAAACCTACAACCTTCACCCGTAACCTTCTTAAGACGGCCAAACCCGAATATTTCTAGTTCTAGGTGTAGTGTTAGTTCTAGTGCTAGTGTTAGCTACAGTTTTAGTTGTTATTCAACGTTATGTTGTATATTTTTATCGAACAAAAACTAAAACTAACACCAGACCTAGAACTAGAAACATTAAGAGACGCACGGCTAAACTTGAAACTTTCTATACTTCGTTCGCCGAACAGATGCAGCCATTTGAAATTATAGCTCCTCCCACAAATACGCGCAAAATTTGAATAGAATTTTTCTATTAGTAAGCTCGGTTTATAAAGGTCAACCAAGAACAGCTTTCCTTCTTATTCTTTTCGTTTTCGTTAAATATTTTTCACTTGAAGATCAACAGCATGTATTAAACATGTTTAATAGTTATGTGTGGTAACGAGAACCCACACAAAACAGCAAAAGGTCCAGTTTACTGCAACGGCAGCAGGCAATTTTCAATTACATCTTTATTGTGGAAAAATAAATTGAAAATTACCTGCTATCTATTAATGTTATAAGCATTTTATTGTTTTTTGAAATATTTTCAATTTTCCCTTCTACTATACATGGTGAGGCACGTGAATCAAGCGGTTTTGGAAGGGCTGTTATTCTGTCGTTATAGAAGAGAGGGCCGTGCGGTAGCTATTGTTGCTTTTGTTGGCCTATAGCATTTCACATTCAGTTGGTAGTATGGAGTCGTGGACGTTAGAACATCGGATGCTCGCGTACGATTGTTTTGTTAAAAATAACAAGTCGGACACCCTTTTGGTCTAGGCAAAGGGTTCCCGGATAGCTTTCACCGGAGATGTTACTGGACGCTCTCCGTGGCGAACATCTGGACGCCAGAAAGCGTTCGAAACTATTCAGAAGAACTCTCTCCGTAGATCTGGACAGCAGATCCTTTTGGCCCAGACAAGGACTCGAAGAAAACTTTCACCGGGGATGTTACTGGACTCGGGGATAAAAGGAACCAGGATCGGTCCGGAGGGGGCAGTTTGCAGTTACCATAAGTTCATCAGTTACCGTCTTACCGTCGCGTTGTAGTTTTGATCGACAACCCTTTTCGCGTCTGCACTTTTATTATTGTTGTTTTTATTGTAAATAAAATTTTGTCGTTGAAGACATTGGTTTTCCTAAAACTTCCTCTCGCTACTATCAAAGCATTAGCCCCGCAGAGGCGATCCGTCAGCAAATAACCCAAATCAATAGAGGCTTGCTGGAAAGATTGGAGACCAATTTTCTTCAACATCTTCAACAATGAAAATGGTCATCATATGCCAGATTTAATTTTCCGAAAGTGAATGTGAATATATACTTATAAAGATTTTTTTACAAATAAATTTCGTCTACAGCAAAATCTAAAAATTTTACAATTATTCCAAAACCACTTGGTTCCCGTGCCTCACCCTGTATATATATACACCTCCAGATCTTCTATATCCCTTCAATTCCCTCCAGCACTCTCCCAGGATCCTGCAATGTGGTCTTGCTTTTGTCATTTCCTTATACTTCACTGCTCTTTTCGCCGCCTCCACCATTACTACCTCCACCTTAACCTCGACCACCAAATCGTCCGCGTACGCCAAGGCGTGCACCTTTGCTCCTCCTATCACCACCCCACCCATTTGCCCCTTCGGAAGTCTCTTTTCCAAGTCCGCCGTATATATTGCAAATGGTGTGGGACTAAGCGGGCACCCCTTTGTCGTCCAGAATACTTCACTTAACTCTTCCCCCACTTTAACCTTGGCCATCGTCTCCTTGTACATCTCCTTCACCCTCCCTATCAGTTGTTCTGTTGTATCACTCCTCCTCATTTTCTCCCACAACTTCTCTCTATCCACGTTATCGAATGCAGCCTTCAGGTCAATAAACAATCCATACAGCTTTCCCCCATTAAGAAATTTCCAGAAAGATCTGCACCCATTATTTCAACAAGCTGTACGCAATGTTTCTGCAGATAATTGGAGGAATGCTATTCGTTATACCAAAGGCGAGGAAGAAAAATTGTGGCAGGTTGACAATTTAATGGAGCTCAAAATGGAGTAGCTAATAATTAACGTGAGGAATGATTCTTCCTCGGAAGAGGAAACTTTCTCCGAAACTGATTCGAACTGAGTCAGATCACCCCAATTTACAAAATAAACTTTGAAATGCCCTTTTGACACCTAACTTAACTTCTGGTAACCATTATTTTTATAAAAATATTTACACAATTTAGCAAATTTGAAATTATACATAGCCTGTGTCAGTGATGCATGCTTATATACCCAATTTTCTTTCTTTGTATGTATGTATGTACTTTTGTGTGTAATGGTGGGGGAAATAGGCGTGGCTTCGCTTAGGTTTACTGCATCTGTTCGGTGAACAGAGTATAGTATTAGTGTTAGGTCAACTTTTAGTTATTCAGCGCTAGGTTATTTTATATTTTTATGGAACTAAAAGTAGAAATAGTACTTCTTCTAGTTTTAGTTCAATTAACACCGACATTGAAAACCTTCGTAATTATATACTTATATTAAAGCGTTCACTGTTTAATCGGAAATTACCTCGTCGATTCCTGTAGTAGCAGGTGTGGTGGTACCCAAAATTTAACCCGTAGGGCAAATCGCACGGAGGTGTTGTGGCCGTGTACTCCGATCTGGCGGTCAATTGGGTTTCTGAGGTTCAACCAAAGCTCCTCACCTTTACTGCTCTCGTACTTGAGTCCGAAGTAATCACATTCTTTTGAGATGTTGAGATGTTCGCAAACCTGAAAAATAAAATAAATCAAAATTGTTATAAACGAGTAATAATTTATATTTAGATGACATTGGATGTGTTTGGTATTTGAATTAGTTGGCATAGTTAATAGCGGGGGTTGTCGCCAAGTTTCTTCAACATCCCGCCCTAAACCCGTCCGATTTTAATGAAATTGTCCCGACTTTATGATCTATTAGCGCCCCAATTCCGATGGTCAAAGTTCGGAGTAGGGATTGCGCCCTGAAGCGTTCGAATAGGAGAAGGCGTCCTCGGCTAATCCTTCTCGGAAAAAGCCGGTACAATTCGCAGCGTTTAGACGAGAACTTTTAATTTCAAAAGATTAAACTTGTTTTTCTCCTCTTTCAACGAGAACAGCTCGGTCCGGATTTGAAGAGGAGCTCTCTTGGTTTTGATGGGAATTATTGCAGCAAACATTGAAACTTAAAGGCAACGGGCTAAATTATAAAACAATCTAAAGGCCGAACTAATTTGCGAACTAAGTAATAAATTCCCGGGATTATAAATTAAGTTCAAAACTTCGGTTAACTCGCTGAAATTCCTTAATCAAAACTCTTTGGAAAAAAAGAATACAAAGCAGATTATGAAGTTTTTTTCACAGTGTTAGAAAGATAGGATTTAAAAAGTATATTAAGTCGAACACGGACTATTAGATAGAACTTCATCTTTATAAATATATTAACTTTCAAAGCAAAAATTTACATTTATTTGCAACGGTACAAGATTATTTTTTATAAAAAAAGAGGAAAGCTTCATACTAATTAAATTCTTTAAAATTTAAAACTATTCAATGCGTCGTATCAACGAGATTTATGGGAAATCATAAATCATTTATATAGCACATTAAAAGTAGATTAAAATTGCTATAAATGCATTTTGATATCTCAAATTGTTTTTGCGTAAACATGAAGAGTTGCATTCGTAACTTAAAATCAAAGTGTTATGCAAAATAATAAAAATTTCGTATTCTCTGTATTTAAAAAAGAAATAAAAAAAACAGTAAGAAGTAAATCGAAGAAATTGCTAATTTTATTGAAACTTAGACTGGAACTGAGTCGATATGTAATTAAACTGGAATGAAAACCGAATAGAAAAAGAGAAAAAAATGTTGTGCTATTATTAGGTACGTTTCTGCTTTGTGCAATAAAAAGAATTTGGTATTTAGATCGCTCAACAAAAATAATGATTAACAAATATCAAGGATTCTTTTGGAATGCCATAACAATTTTATATTTATTTACCGTATTTACTAAAAGATATATTATAAACACATATTAACTTAATTAATTTCAAAATCATTTTCGTTAGCTTAATTTGGCAATTGTATAATTTGATTAAGGAAGCAAACTTTGTGACAGAATCAGACAGAATTAAAACGCTATCAAAATACACTCAGTAAAGGCCTTTGGAATCAATTTTAGCAAAATATGCAACCCCTTATTTTCGCATAATCTAAGTGTCAAAGAAGATGCTAATTCAAAAATTTCTGGATGCCGTATTTATTGAAATTAAGGAATGAGACTTATTCTAAATTAAAGCTCAAAGCTTTCTTTTTAAAATTATGTATAATAATTGTTGGGTTGGATTGGAAAAATATTGAGAAAAAAAATGTTGAAACAAAACTTACATTTTCGTATAACCTAAAAGTGTCAAAAAAGATGCTAATTTAAAAATTCCTGGAAGCCGTATTTATTGAAATTAAGGAATGAAACTTATTTTAAATTAAAGCTCAAAGCTTTCTCTTTAAAATGATGTATAATAATTGTTGGGTTGGATTGGAAAAATATTGAGAAAAAAAATGTTGAAACAAAACTTACATTTTCGTATAACCTAAAAGTGTCAAAAAAATGCAAATTTAAAAATTCCTGGAAGCCGTATCTTTTGAAATTAAGGAATGAAACTTATTCTAAATTAAAGCTCAAAGCTTTCTCTTTAAAATGATGTATAATAATTGATGGGTTGCATTGGAAAAATATTAAGAAAAAAATGTTGAAGTAAAACTTACATTTTTGTATAACCTAAAAATGTCAAAAAAATGCTAATTTAAAAATTCCTGGAAGCCGTATTTATTGAAATTAAGGAATGAACCTTATTCTAAATTAAAGCTCAAAGCTTTCTTTTTAAAATGATCTGTAATAATCACACCTCATAATCATTTATTAAAGAGATACCTTTTTGAACAACAAAATTCAGCAACACAACTTTTCACTAAACTTCTAACCTCATATCTAGATGAATAAGTTTAAATATACCTAAAAACCCTACAGTGCGGATTGCGTCGTTTTTTATACACAATCTTTTTTGTATAGTAGAAAGTACCGACAGACAGCTCTAAATGCACCGAATAGATGACTACAGTTTAAAATGAGTATTTAAAACTACCGGTACTTTAAAGTAACGTCGGGACACAAAGAGTTAAACTCGATCATGATTTAATTACTGTTAAAAATCAGGGTTCTTCAATATAATAAACTGTACTGTAATAAACTGTAGATAGATGAATTAACTCTTACGTATTATCTCTAAATGAAATTAATAGAATTTTTCCTGCAAGATTTATTTGTACTAAGGGTGTAACCATACACTATAGCGGTGGAACGGATATCCGGCAACTATCCGGTATCCGGCCATTTTTTAAATCCGGGCGGATACGGGATTATTAATTAAAGTATCCTCTTTTTAATGTAAAAAGCCGTTTTGAAACATTACTTTTAGTTCTTGAGAAATAAATTTTTGAAATGATCGACAATTTTTTCGAATTTTGCCATTTTCGCCGATTAAGTCTTAAAAATTCGTATAAAATCCACTTCTTGGAACATGAGTATGAAAATTTTCCAAAATGTTAATAAAAGTGTCCTCTTTCCAATGAACCAACCCGTTTTGAAAAATAACTTTTAGTTATTGAGAAAACAATATTTGAAGTTTTGAAAAAATTTTCGATGTTGCAATTTTCATCGATAATTTTCAAAATTCGCTATAAAATTCATTGCTTGAAGAATCCTTGTGGAAATATCGCCAATTATTAATTAAAGTATCCTCTTTTTAGAGTTGTTTCGTTAGTTAAATCAGCATCAAAAAAGTTCATTATGTATCTTGGATCCAAGTCAGTTGACATATCTTATCAGCTTTCTTATTAATTTCATTTTTATTCAAATATCGCAATAATGTGGCAATCTAGGGTATCACTTCAAAAATGTATAGCGTCTTGAGAGACAGAGGGCTAAACCCGAATGTTTCTAGTTCTAAGTTTAGTGTTAGTTCTGGTGCTAGTTCGAGTTTCAGTTGTTATTCAGCGTCTGGTTGTTGTATGTTTTTATTGAACTAAAATTAGAACTAACACTAGCACTACTACTGAAACTAACACTAGACCTATAACTAGAAACATTCGGGTTTAGCCGTGCGTCTCTCAAGACGGCTAAACCCGAAAGTTTGTAGTTCTAGGTCTAGTGTTAGTTCTTTTTTGGTTTAATAAACATATACAACAACCTGGCGCTGAATAACAATTAAAACTAGAATTAATCACGCCATCACTACAACTAAAACTGGAACTAGAAACATTCGAGTTGAGCCGTGCGTCTCTCAAAACGACTCAACCCGAATGTTTCTAGTTCTAGGTCTAGTGTTAGTTCTAGTGATAGTGCTAGTGTTAGTTCCAGTTTTAGTTATTAGTCTGCGCCAAGTTGTTGTATATGTTTATTGAAATAACAGTAGAACTAGCATTAAACGTAGAAGTAGAAACATTCGGATTTAACTGTCTTTAGAGATGCCCGGCTAAACACAAAACTTTTTAGTTCTAGGTCTAGTGTTCTACTTTTCTACAGTTCAATGTAATACATAATTGTATATGTTGTAGTTGCGCTTCAGTAACAATAGCCAGAAAAAATCCGCGCATATCTTTGCTTATGATTACAAATGGGTTAACCCATATAATTCTGTAAATCAATAGTACTCTTTTTTTTGGGTCACGTGATATAATCACCATCATCCTTTCTTGCCTGTTTATCCAATTGGCTAAAGTGATAAATTGCACCATCAGCGTTACAGAACGCACATACAAGTATCTATTCTCGAAAAGAGCCTCCGGACTAAAAGCGAGGCATCCCCGTGTGACCCCCGGCGTCTCGACGCCGAATGATAGACGAGCTCCTTGGGCCAATCTCCAGACTCTTGAATTAAACTGCCATTTACAGCGGAGACCCCGTCGTCGGATAATTGCGATTACTCAAATTATCCACCTTGAGGATAATTTAATTTCGCCGCGCACTGTTATTCGTATGCAAATTACAGACCGGGCACAATCAAAGTAATCATTACCATAATCCCTTTCGCCCTTTCTCTATATAGACGTCGGCACGAATTCTATTTTCTTTCCATTTAAAGGACCAGAAGAGTTTTAGAGATTAAAGTTTTAAGTAACGATTATTTTGTCAGTGTTTATTGTTCATCTTCTTATCAGGGCATTGAAATACATTGAGATATCTTAAAGTTGCGACACGTTTACATTAAGATAAGATTTGAAATGACGATGTTTTTGTGTTTATTTATTTTTTATAACAGACTGTATGGCTGGCTGCAACCTACAAATAGTGATTCATTTTAAAAGTTAACGTACAAATAATATTAGTAAATTTTAAAACTAAAATATTTGTATTTTGTAATTTTGATGCGAAGAAGACATTTTCATGAATTTTTGCATTAAGGATTATCTCGGACTAGTTCTGGAAATGAAGATCTACAAAGTTTCCTAAATCTATGTTGAAGGTTACGTCAAGACGTTTCATTTTGCAATGATGTTTATTGGCTGTATTTTTTCAGATTGTTAGATCTTGGAGATGGAGTTTGTAATGATATTCTTAATTTTATTGGAATTCCCAAAAAAGTAGGGCACAAAATCATATCATGTCAACTTCGTGTAAACAAAAAGCAGTAATAAGTAAATGACATCGAAAGATACAACGATAGTAATTAGAGAACAATTAGAGAGGGTTTAAC